TTCAAACTGCTATTTATCATCAACTGCAAGTATACTAAAGCCACAATTCCACAGATCCTGTCTGTCCCTTCCTGCAATAAAACTTCATGTGGATCCAATACACAAGAGGCTTCTCCTCATAAATATTGCAAACTCAGTTGAAATTCCCAATCAGTGTGGTGAAAATCTTCACATGACACCTATTTGCAACATATAACATATTTCCAACACTCCATTGTGATAATAACAAACTAGGCCTGAATTCATTTGTTTTTGATGTGAACATCTTAGCAGGACATAAATAGATGTTTGAATTGGGCTTCTCAATTTGCTTAGAAGTTCTTCTGGAGCATCCTAGCGGATATTCACACATTTAAAGCCTGTTTGGTGGGTAACCTTTCAGGCAACCAGACTGATTCATACCACTTTTGTGTGTATGATTTTTCATTTTTTTTTTTTTGAAAAATTCATACATTTAAGTTACCCACACATTTTGGGGGCTTCCAGGGTGCTACTTCTGGTTGCTAAATCAAAAGTTAAAATTGATAACTTTATTGGAAATTCTGTGGCACAACAAATCACCTCAGCAACCACTACAGATTTCTGAGCTGTTTACTTAAATCAGCAGAAATATGTGAGACCCTCAATTAAAGATGGCATTCGGGTACCCGCCGGCGGGTACTAGGTACCCGTTGGCGGGTACCGCCCATACCCGCCAAATACCCGTCAGGAGGTACAGGTGTGGTATCTGGTATCCACTTTGGGCCAAAAAAATTGGGCTACCCGGGTACCGCACGGGTGTACCCGTCTCCACCCCCTATTCTTCTTGGGGGTTTGGGGTTAGGCCATGTTTCAAGCACGATCAAGCTGCTCTTCAGCCATATCCGCTAGGCAATCATCATCATTCAACCATCCATCCACCATGGCATCATCCACCCGCAAGCGAAAGAAACCAAACTCATCACACCCATCAAGCCCCTCACCCTCTCGCAGCCAATCACAACAGCGTAATACTACTTCTACCCAGGAAGATCAATCTGATCAAACCAAAGGTGAAGACAATGATCAGCCGACATCTACAGCACCGATTGAAACAACTGACGAGGAGGAGTTAAGTGAGTCATTTCCAATCTTGTTGTTATGAGCTTCAATCGTTTTTCTGACTCATTTTTCCTGTTTTAACTATTGTATTGCTTCCAGAGAAGGCCCAAAAAGTTGCTGCCGCCGCCCAGAGTCCCTGCTACGCATTCTATATGACCCCTGAACTCTCAACGCAGCGTGATAAGAAAAACCTATTCATGATTGCTTATCCGTGCAAAATGTAAGCCTCAATCTCATTCTTTGCTCAGCTCACATGGATTCAAATCTGACAATCCATTTCAGGTGTGGGATCAAGATCAACCGCCCAACCTCCGACTCCTCTTGCGGCAACCTGAACAAGCACCGTGCGGGATGCATCCGGAAACAAAACCAACAAACCGATCGATCCGTTAAAATGGTGGATCCAACAAAAGCGAGCTGGAAACACCCACGGAGGCCTGGTAAATATGGCTCTGGATGTCCATAGCTGTCCTGGTGAGTTTTGATTCTGCTCAATCACCCTTCTATTGGCACACACTGACTCTATACCCATAAACTATGCAGCAACATCGGTTGATGTTGAACGGGCCTTTAGTTTTGGCCGTGATTATGTCTCGACCAAGAGGCACAGGCTATCCGCTAGGTCATTGAGCAGGGGGATGACGGTGGCTTTCTATTCGAAGAACGGTCTGATTAAAGAATGGACTTTTGTCCAAGTGGAA